CCCTCACCATGGCCTGGGGACCCCATCATGATCTGAGAAACTCACCACAGCTGGGGGACCTCCTTTGTGGCCCAAAGACCCTCACCACAGCCTAGGGACTCCCACCACAGCCTGGGGACCCCACCACAGCCAGGGGACACCTAGTATGGCCTGGGGGCCTCACCCCAGGGGGACATCCACTGTGCCCTGGGGACCCTCGCCATGCCCTGGGGACCTCCAGCCTGGCCTGGGGATCCCTGCTGTGCCCTGGGGATCTCCACCACGGTTTTGATAGATGGTCCTATTGTATAGGTCTGGTTCCTCTGTATAAACGATGCGTGCCTCACTAACGACTTCATCCTTGAGGAAAAAGGACTGATAAGGAGGGAACATCCTGCCACAGAAGGCCTGAAAGATGGAGGATTATTGAAGAGGCACAACGTCAGCAAAATCTGCAGCAACTGGGGGAAAGGCAAATGTGGCTGGGGGAGATCACAGCCACCAACTCAACTGAAACCCTCTACTCACTATTGCCCATCCCTCTCTGAGTGTGTGCTGTCGAACACAAGAGTGCTGTGTGACTTTAGACAGAGACGGGCAAAGCCAGAACCAATAAAACTCGGGGTGTAAACAGGAGCAGGTTTTTTGTAAGCGTGTGTCAAGATAAATAGGCTGTGGCTCCTGTAGCAGGTTAAGCTGGCCATGGGGAACACTATCTGGCTTCCAGCTTTGCGCCTCGACCCCATGCACATATTGGCTTTGCACACCGGGTTAAACATCCCACTTTTCGGGACAGCAGTTTGGAGGTGTCATGTCCCCCTGGCATGAGGGACTCCATGGCCTGGGGGGCTTTCGGGGGCATCCTGGTATGGGTGAAAGCCAGCGGGCCTCACCCCTGTGCGGGGGACAGTCAGAGCTGGCCAGGGGCACAGGCAGGGCTGAGCAGGCAGGAGGTGCCCTGGGGAGTTTTGGGGCTGATGGCAATTTCCTGCTGGCTGAGTCACAGCCGCAGCAGCCCTGAGCTGAGGAGCTGTGTGGGGCCGGCTGGTGCTTTTGGGAAGTGAAACGGGTGCCAGGAAAACACCCCAACAGCCCGCAGCCACGCAAGCCTGGACAAACATGCCTGGCCCGGCCGGCATGGCGCAACCGCTGGCACCCTGGATGGACGCGGGGTGTCCTGCGGAGAGGGGTGTGCTGCCGGCTGCGGGGCTGGCCGCAAGGAGCGTCCCCAAAAGCACAACATCCCCAAACGCCATGTCCCCAGGGTGGCATGGATGGGCACTGAGGGGACAGCGGGGTCCTGCGCCCTCTGATGCTGGGGTGGTGGGGACAGGAGGGGTGACGGAGGGGGCCCTGCTGGCCTTGGGGCGGAAGGCCCAGGCAGAGCGGGAGGAAGCCATGGGGGAATGGTGCTTGCGCCACTGGCCCCTTCCGGTGCCGCTGTGGTCCCCAGCCCTGACGAGGATGGGCGTCATTGCGGCCCCAGTGGGACGGGCCAGGATGGGGCAGATCCTGCTGGGTCAGCCCAGTGCCTCAGGGCCGGCACACACGCACCAGCCCCATACCTTGACCCAAAACATTGCCCCTGCTCGCTGCCCCACACACCAACCCCAAAGCATCCCCCCTGCTCTGCCCCACGCACGGCCCCTCACTCAACTCCACGGCGCTGCTTGGGGGGCAGCTGGCCCCCCAGCTCTCCTGGTCTTGCTGGAGGAACTGGGCAAACCCAGGCGTTGCGAAAGGTGGAAATCCCGCTGTGACGATGCTTCTTCCTTCCAGAGACTCTTGAAAAGGCGCTGCCCCGGCGTCAGGCTTAGAGGGTGTCCAAGCGAAGCTGCAGGCCGGACAGGCAGGAGCAGGCAGCCAAGTGCTGCGATACTCAACAGGTTCCAGCAAGTCTCTGCCCAGGTTTTTGCAGTCAGCGGCGGCAATGGCGTTCGTGCCCGATTTGGACACACTGGAGAGCAGCAGGTAAGCGTGGCCATCCTGGAGGGAATACTGGGGACACAATGCTGCCCTGGTGCCATGGTGGCCCTGGCTTCACCACCTCCCTTTGCCTTTCAGCCTGAATGAGGAGACATTTTATGGCCCCGACTGTCTCTGCCTGCAGAAGGTAACACTGGGCTGGTGGGAACATCCTGCCTCAGAGAATCCTACGATGGAGAAGCCAGTCTCTCACCCTGCATCCCCTTTCCTCCCCAGAAACCCCGCCTGGACTTGGAGGTGACATTGCCCAGGGTGGGCGTCCAGGTGACAGTGACCAAGGGACACCCAGCCAGGACCTTTCGCCGGGTCGCCACCCTTGTGGTGGCTGTGACCAAGTTCCTGAAGCAGCCGGAGCAGAAGGACTTTGCTGATAGTGACCTTGGGGGCTTCCTGGATGATATTTTTGGTATGGGGAGGTGGTATCGGGGGTATCACCCCAGCTGGGGGTGCTCTCAGACCCAGAAACATCCCCCTGACCATCTCTCTCCCCGCAGAGCCCGTCTCCTTCCAGCGGATCGAGAGCAGCTACGCGGGGGCACCCGTCTACCGCTACACCCGCTCCCAGTCCTTCGACATACTTGACATTGACCACAAGTGCTTCGTGCTGGAGTCACCCACCCAGCTGGTGGCCCTGCACCTGCAGGGACCCTCCATCAAGCGGAAAGGTAAGGGGACATGGTCCTCAACCAATGGCCCCAGCCCCAACCCTGGGGCCAGCTGGGAGCCAACTCACAGCCCCAGGACCACCCCTTAACCCATCCCTTCTCTCTGCAGTGAAGTTCAACATCGCTCTGTACCGTCCCCGGTCATCGCAGGGTGGCCCGGCCACCGGGGGGGTGCCGGTGGCATTGGGCATCAAGGGCTACCAACTCTACATGTCGTGTGTGATGAGCGGTACTGAGCCCACGCTGCAGCTGGAGGTGAGCAGGAGGGTCCCACCAGCTCCATCTCCCGTGGGGGCTGAGGGCTCCATCACACCCTGAACCCCGTTTTGCCTCCTTGGTTGTAGGAAGCTGACATCAGGAGGGACATCGAGAGCGTGGAGCTGACCCGCTTCATCTTCTACCGCCTGGACAGCCCAACCGAGGGGACCACCCGCTTTGAGTCGGCCGCCTTCCTTCATCTGCACCTCCCTGCAGCCCCGCCAGCCTGTCGGCATCACCAACCAGCCCGACCAGGTCAACATTGCCACCTACGAGCTGAGCGGGCGCTGAGGAGCCCCTACACCCAACCCAACCGGCAGTCACCGGTTTTCAGGCCGTATGTACCGAGTACAAACCCGCCCCAGCCAGGACCCCCGTCCTCCCCATCTATTTCAGGTGAAATAGCAGCTCTGGGCCCCGTGGGCCCAAGTCACCCCAATTTGTCCTTGGTCATTGTACCTGTCCCGTGCTTTTATATTTACTTATTGTGTCCACCCCTTGCTCTTAACTTATACGCGTTTTGTTGGAAAGATTGTGGGAACAGGCAAGAACGGAAGTGTAAATAAAATGTTTCCCAGAATGGCGTTGCTCAGCTCATTGCTCTCACAGGGGTTAAATGATGCCGCAGTGGTTTATGGATGGGAAAATCCCACTGTTTCGGCTGGTTTTGGGGGCTCTCTGGGCCTGGGCCCAAAGCCTAAGGGGTGGGGGGCGACCCCAGAGCCCTGAGACCACCCCACACCCATGGGACCACCCCAGACCTGGGGACCACTGC